TTCAGGAGGAATGGGCTCCATTGAATCAGGGGGCTCGTTTGGTGCTGGGGGTTCATATGGAGGGGGCAGTTCCGGCGGGATGGGAGTAAGTACAAGGAAGCGCCATGTGAGAACATGGAGTAATTTTATTATCATCCTTCTCCTTTTGTCACCTTTCAGGAGAGCTGCAATATTCCAGCAAGATGCACTGCTGTTGTCCAGGAGGCATAATTTGAGAAAAAATAGTCTTTTTGGATATGGAATGGATGCATGTAGAATCTATAAAGATGATTTAATCTAAAACAAAATAAAAGCATCTTAAGAACGGCAAGGACTATTTTTTTCAAGAAAGTCACAGCAGTATTCCTGGACTAGTACTTAAAAGCCTTATATATTAGGAGAGAGAGATACAGGTGCATAAATAGGAAGAGATCTCTCTAAGCAAAAATTCCTTTATCAATAACCAGAAACACAGTGAGAACACTAGATGCGATCAATATTTTTGTGTGGTTATAACAGACAAACATCACACGGATTAGTGCCAGTGATATCAAACACCCAACTTAAATGTTTTGTTTCTAAATCAAAGTAAACTAAAGTAATTCTAGATTTTGAGTCTCAGTCATAGCTGTGGGGGGAAAGCAACTGCAGCCTATCTGAATCTAAACGGTTAGGTGTTCAGCCTGTTCCACTTATCATTCTGTTTAACGTTTATATCATTTATATCACCAAATTTCTGGTGTTTTCAAGCCCTCTTAGAAAATAGAGCACAGGGAGCTTATATGGTTAAGATCTTGCATCAGAATGCGAACGAGTCCTGTCAGGCATCAGTGGGCAGCCCTTGATTTGGCAGTTTTGCTAGTCAGCAATTCTTCATTACCTCCTCAGTTAATGTGAATCTTCCTAGTTTCCTTCAGCTGGGTTGAGAAATATCAATTTACACGAAGAACCCTGGGCACTGCTGCTGTTTCTCACATTTCAGCACCACTGGCAATCGGTAGCACTTCTATTAACCACCCAACTATTTGCAATCCAGATTTTGAAGAAGAAAAATGGAACATTGTGTACAAAACCTGTTTATCAGCTTGATATAACCCTCACATGCATCTAGACTCATTCCTGTTTCAACTCCAGTGAGGGCCAGGGACAATATCAGCTGCTGGGTGACTTTGTCAAGGTCGGAGTATAAGATAAAACACGAGGTGTGTAATGCTTGTAACATGACTTGGAATTAAGAATAAAATCATGATCACATCACTTAAGAGAACAATTAGAACAATTAAAGAAATAATCCGTATAGCAAAACACAGTTTGGCAACACGTAGGAAGCTCTTGCACAAAGCATGGCTTACATCCCACTGGTGGTCTGAAGAGGTATATAAGAGTGCTCCGAATGCTTCAGTTTCATCAGCGACAGCTCTTCATCTACGCTTCTCCAGACCTGGTGAGTCGAATCTCCTTCATTCACTATATGAAGCATTAGGAAAATATTTTCAGTATTTAACCGAGGACTTAGTCTTCTGCAAGCGTGATGCTAAGCAAGGCTGTTTGCCTTTTGCCATACATTAATTTTTATAGTCATTTAAAGGTATGCCTTTGTAGACACAGTTGATGAATTATAAGACTGGATTTTCACAGGCACTTGGATCAATTCAATATTCTCAGTTAGCTCCAGAGCTATTATAATCCAACAAAATCTTGAGGATAAGCTACTTCCAAAGACACATGGAATTTGGCTTTGCTTTCCATGATTACCAGTATTTCTAGAGCAGCAGAAAGGACTTTGGGAAGTACCAGGCATTAGTGCATGCATGTTCAGAAAAACACATGAGATAAACCTGAATCTTTCTAAACACTCTTCTTCCACCTTTCTTTCATGCTGGTGAAAGACATCAGAGCAAGCTTTTTCCCTCTGGCATTTGGTCATTGTACTTTATCTCCTGCTGCAGGTTCATCTACATCACAAAAGATGTCTTCAGGATCACAGCTCATGAGCAGTAGATGCTCCTCACCCTGCGAGGTGACCTGTGAAAGGCCATGGGTGAACGCCTGGAACCAGCCCTGCGTCACCTGCTGTGAGGACTCCCGTGCCGTGGTCTACCCACCGCCTGTGGTCATCACCTTCCCAGGCCCCATCCTCAGCTCCTGCCCTCAGGAGAGCTTTGTGGGCACCTCGTTCCCATCACCCATTGGGGGGTTTTCAGGAGGAATGGGCTCCATTGAATCAGGGGGCTCGTTTGGTGCTGGGGGTTCATATGGAGGGGGCAGTTCCGGCGGGATGGGGGGCTCATATGGAGGGGGCAGTTCCGGCGGGGTGGGGGGCTCATATGGGGGGGGCAGGTCATTTGCTG